CATAGAGTTTAAATGTTTGAATTTGGAATCTGAGGAAGTTTTTTTCAGATGTTAAATAATTTACCTTGTTTTCTTTCTTATATTCATGAAAATGTGTTCCATGTGTGCCTTTGTTCACTGGTGTTTTTGTTTCATTGTCATCATCTGTTTTAGGTAAGTTCAAGGTTATTAAAACAAGAACGTCTTAGTACTAGCTCCTTTCTCTACCTCAGTTACAGTATCTTGTGTGGTGCATCTCAGTAAAGATTTGATGTGGCTGCTGTCCATAGATTTACTTGCTAAATCAGTCATTATCAACTGGTGTTTTTTAGTACGTCAGGCTATCTTCAGTCATTTCAAGAAATACAAATCAAGATAAAAATTTAACTTATTATTTTTTAAAAAAATTTACCATAAAATTAAAATAGCTGGCATAATTGAATTTTTTCAATGTGCCAAACACTGTTCTTTATACTTCATGTGAAATAAATCACTTAACTTTACAACCCTTTGAAGTAGGATTTTATTACCATTTGCAGTTGAGAAGACTGAAGCAGAAAGTAAAGTAACTTACTAAAGGTTATACAACAAATAAGTAGAAGATTTGGGATATCTGGGCAGTCTGGTAACCGAGTACTATGCTCTTAACCACTGTGCTATCTGTTCAGTGCAACAATTTTAGGAGAAAGAGGGAAACATGAGAAATTCATGCTTTAGCATGTTCTCAGTTCTAAGAAATTGGGAATCAGCGCATTTGTATAGATGAGTTCTGTGCATCCATAAACTTTATAATTCTTTAAAGTTTACTTACAGTTTTGATTCCCCTTCTAAATAGCTATATTAAATGGGAATGAATTGCTAAACCTCCCTTAACCTTAACTTTCTCATCTTTAAAAATGGAAATGATAGTAGTACCTTTCTTGTGCATTCTTTCCTCTGAGGGATTATACTAAGCTAACCCTGCAATTGTTTTCAAGAACCCATCTGCTTTAACTGACTCACATATCAGACCTTGAACACTGTGTTATTTTGATGACAGGTGTCCTTTTGGGAAAGTGTCTGCTAACATTGTTAGAGAAGAGGCTGTGGCTTTCCTTTCAGTGTCTGTGTTACGTATTTTGTTTCAGAATGTCTGAAACAGAACTTTAACAGTATTGGGCAGTCTTACTTCTGTAAATGTCTGATATTGCCCTAAATCTTTTATTAAATTTACCTGTATAATCAGGGTGAAACACATTTATTCATGTTCTAAGCTTCAACAGCAATAACAACGTTAATATATAAAAGCCACCCAAATATTTTTATTGTCTAATACTTCTGTGAACTTTTTTATAACCAAATGTGGTAGGCAGTTTTGTTTTCCTCCTTTTACAGATGAGAGCTGTGAGGCTAATGAGAGGTAAACAGCTTGCAAATATCTCACAATATAAGTAGAATCAGATTTTGAATGTGTATGTCTGTCCAGAGCCTGAGTGCTTAACTCTGATGATAAATCACCTCTTCTGGGTATTGAGGTCTTAAAATATATTTCTTATTTAAAATGTGTATTTAAACATAAAAGTGGAAACACAGATTTATATCCTGGATATCAGGACAAGAGTTTCGTAGCCCAGGCCTCCTAAGGAACTGAAACTAGAAAGTCATGAAGAACTTCTGCAGCTTCTGGTGCTGTTTCTTTCTCTCTGGGCTCACCTCTGTTGGCTTTCATTATTTTTTCTCTCTCTGCGTATTGGCTTCATCTGTTACACTTACTAGTTGGCCCATCTTGGCTGCTCATAAAATGGTACCTTCAGCACCAGTGTTTTTTATAATTTTAAAAATCCAGACCCATGGCCAAGTGACCAACTTTTCATGGTCTCACTTCTACTTTCTTATGAGAAAGAATCTCATCCTGATACAGGCTCTGGATTATTTTCCTCTAGGTCAGGTGTTCATCCTCTGATCAATTAGCTGTGGCAGTTGGTGATGGGTTGGGGAGATATAACTACAAATATTCAGGGACCTACCACTAATGTTTAAGGATAGTTCTGAAGGGATATGGGCTGAATACAGCCCCAAAATGTGTCTATAGTAACATCTATTAGATTTTATTAAAGCAGAATCATAAAAATAACTTAGAATAGTTGCAAAATACGTGTTATAGATATAAGAAACTGACATCAGTTTATTATATAAAAACTAACTTCATGAAACTAGATATATAAATCAAATTCTTTGAATGGTACCAGATGAGTTTATTTAAAATAATCATACAGTTGAATCTTTTTGATAAGAATATTCAGTAATCATATATTTGTTGAACATTCCTTTATTTGCATTGTAAATTGAGGTTTTCCTATAGTAGGTTTGCATATGATTGGATATTTTTACCAGGGAAGTCTACGTTATTTGCTGTAGATTATTTGAAGATTTACTTCAGAGAATTTCAGATTCTGTTTTTAGATTTCTTAATTCATGGATTTCTATAAAAGTGGCAATTTTCTATAAAGTTTTAGGAAAGTCTGAGCAGTAAGAATTGTATGTTCTCATTCTGTAGGACATTTGGGAATAGGGCTTAATGGAAGCTGATTATTTTTAGCTTGTTTGACTCAGTTAAGCATTTTCTAACTTAGTTTCAACATAAAGTAATTCTAGTTATGGTGTTTTCTAGTCATATTCTCTGATAACAGTGTTGATGATCTATAAGATACAGATTATAATTTTATTTTATGTGTTTTTTATTGGTGATATGTTTAGGTCATGTTTTAAAATTAAAGCGTATATTAATTCTTAGATGGTAATTTCAGGGAAAGTATGAGTCAGTGTATTTATTAACTTTTCTCCCAACTTTCTTAGGAATGCATAGTTCTTTTATACCAATTGAGCTATCTTCTTTTTTTCCATATATTGATAAACTCATCTGTCCTTTCTAAAATGGTTCAGTAGCTAGAATGCCACATCTAGACTGCATATGGAAATTAGCTTTGTTTTCTAAAACATGCTGATCCTGACCCACAGAACTCTACTTCTGGGTTCTTTGTGTTCTTGTGAAGACAATTTCTTACGGCATTTTTTTTTTCTTTTTGGTATCACATAAGTAAAACAGTTACCATTTGTTTCAACTGACTGGACCATTTCCAAGACAGCCTTCTTCCCTTCTCTGTCCATCATCATTATTTTCAGTGTAGAATTTCTTTCTGTCTTTCAGACCTCTTTCAAAATAGGGGTAGTTTTTGAGCCTCTCAGTGGTAGTGATGGCTCCAGGTATCTCTACTCTGAAGGGGTCAGTCAGGAAGAGAAGGAGGGATGGGCAGCAGTAGGATTGGAGAGGAGGAGTTGGGACATTGAGACAGGCCACCTTAAAATAAAAAAGAGGCATTGAGAATAGCAGAATATATGTGTTAGAATAGACCTTCTAGATTAGTGCTTTTCAGACTGTCGATGGTGGACCAGATTTTTAATTTCCAGTTCGTTAAGGACAGGGTCTACAAGATGAGTACATTTATCACATACCTGGATCTTATTATGCTTTCAAAACATTGTCTAATTGCTGTAAAGGTTTCAAATTGCTACTCGCAATTTATATACGTATCGTAGACCAGTATCAGTTTTCCAACTGACACCAGCCTACTGATCACATGTTAATGTTGAATAGTCAACCTCACCATGTGGCCATGATAGATTATGTCATTATACAACTAGTAAAATTTTCTTTGTTAGTTTCAGTAGAGAACAACTCTACTCAAAAGCAAAATTTAGCCTTTTGTCTGAAAGTGGTGTTCATTATTGGGATATATAAAAGTTAGAAAAATAGGCCCCTAGGGCTTCGGGTTATGGGGACTTTTCCTTTGTGCATTGTGGATTTCTGAAATAATCTTTTGTATGATCTTATTTTTGGAATCAGTAAAAAATCAACAGAGATACCAACTAAAACAACAACAAAACAAGAAAAATTAGAAATATTAAGGTAGAAAAGAATAACAGTTTAAAAAACTATTAGTTTTATATAATTGGAGTAATGGGTTCATATGGGAAAAGTGTCTAGAGATAAGGCACAAAAGATTGTCAGGGACAAGATTGAGAAATGGTATGTAAGCCATAAAAAGGAGTTTGCTTTTTAATTAGGTAGACAGTGGGGAGCAATTGAATTTTATATAGTGATGTGAAATAGAGCAGGTTGTTTTTTAGGAATCCCAGTGCTTTTTCCTCTCTATATTTTAAGGTAATATTAATAGAGGATATACTTCAATTTTGTAAAGTACTTTAGTTCATAGCACCATAATTGTGAATGTCTTTCAGTTATAAGTAATAGCTTAAAAGGTGGGGAGCATAGAAATAAGACGGAATATTTGAGAAGATTAAGGTAGAAAAAGAATAACAATTTATAAAAACTATTAGTTTTATATAATTAGAGTAATGAGTTCATTTGGGGAAAGTGTTATGAGATGAGGCCTGAAAGATTGTCAGAGTCAAGACTGGGAAATTAATTATGTTCTGAAGCATTCCTTTCACTGTTTTCTGATGAGACAGTATTATTATACTGTTGAGCAAAATCAAATTGTTTCAGTTGAATCTCAGCTCTGCTGTTCCCCCCCCCCCCCAATCTTGGGCAAATTACTTAACCTCTTTGGACCTTTGTTTTCTCATCTATAAAGTGGGGATGATAATACTTTCCTTGGACTGTCATGAAGCTAAATGACTGCTTATGTATGTATGTTTGTGTATGTACAGATATATAGATATATAGACATGTATTTTGTAACTTAGAATAATGCATGGTAAATAATGAGCATTAAATAATTGCTTTTACTGCTGTTGTTATTGTCACTGTTATTACAATAATAGAAGACATTTTATTAAATAAAATGTCATTTTTTAAAATAATTTTATTATAAACATGTAAGAATAATAATAATGTGAGTATAAAATATCAAAAAGGTACTAGTTGTTATCTAAAACTAGTCATACCCTGGATTTCAATTTTTTTTAATGGAGACTAAAATAATTAAAGTATATTTAACTTAGTGTTTTTTCTTCTATAGTTTATCAGAGAAGATATGAAATATAAAGATGCTTCTAATAAACACAGCCATCTCCACAGAGAAGATAAACATATAACTGTTGAGGATTTATGGAAACGATGGAAAACATCAGAAGGTAAGACTGTTTAGTGATTCAGAGCCCTCACCTGCTGCTGCTTTCTGCCTTGCTTAGCCATTGTTAACTCACTAATTGCATATGGTTTCAAAAAAAATAAATAAATAAATCTAACATTTCTGTGAGGATGTTTATATTTTAGTAAATAATTTTTCATTTTTGGTTTTGAAAGATGATATTTTTATCATTCTTAGGATTCATTAGAGGTCAGATGGTTCTTATATAATTTAATAGTTTATGCTGGAATAAATAAGATTGTATGTCTGAGAGCTTTAAGTTGTAAAGCATTGCTTCAGCTTTTAAATAGCATCATTATAAAAGGCTTATCAAACAAAAACGGATCCTGAGTTTTCTTTTTAGTTACGAAGAACAGTTCTTAAGGTCTTTAGGAGACACAGAACTTTTCAAGCTTTTCCTGAAGTAAATCCTTTATGAAGCCTAATAGTTGCATGATAAAGTTCTGTAATTTAAATTTGATGCCTTTTTTTTAGACCTCAATTTTCAAGCTGTCCTATGAAAGATATTTACTTAGGGTAGGAAAAGTATGACCTAAAAACTGCAACTCAGTTTCTAATACTAGAAAGCTACAAAAAAAAAAGTCCATTAAGCTTTTTTTTAAGTAAGAGTGAAGCAAGATTCCTTTTTTCTAATGTTTCCATTGTTTTATGAATGTCAAGCAGAGGTGTTGTAGCATATATTTGTCTCTGCAAGTTTGAATAATGAAGTGAAATGAAAAGGAAACTAGAGAAGATTACCAACTAGGAGTATAAAAAAAAATAAAATTTATTAGACTGTCAGTGGTAATATTTGGAAATGGGAAAATGTAGAAGACTATCCCACCAATGCCCAATATTTTTCTTGATGTGGAAGGTTTATAGCTTACTTACATGTTAGTTTTCACTTTTTAAAAGAGGTATCTGTTGAAATATATTGAGGAAGAGAAAAAGGAGGGAAAAAAATCACTGACTTGAAAGATATATAGACTTAAAAAATGTATTTCTCCTTTTCCCCTCCCCACACCATTTTAAGATAAATGAGTATAAATAGGAATAGGAATAAACTAGTATAAATTTCATGGGAGAAAGTGATGGAATGGTAGAAAACTCCGTACACCTTATTTATGTGAAGTATCTCAGCAATATGTTGTTGTTAGGGGCCGGCAAGTTGGTTCCGACTCATAGCAACCCTGTGTACAGCAGAACAAAACCCTGCCCGGTCCTGTGCCAGCCTCACACTCATTGCTGTGCTTGAGTCCATTGTTGCAGCCATCTCATTGAAGGTTTTCCTCTTTTTCTCTGACCATCCACTTTACCAACCATGAAGTCCTTCTCCAGGGACTGGTCCCTCCTCATAACATGTCCAGAGTACGAGACAGGGTCTTCCTGTCCTTGCTTTTAAGGATCATTCTGGCTGTACTCCTTCCAAGACAGATTTGTTCATTCTTCTGGTAGTCCGTGGTATATTCCATATTCTTTGCCAACACCGTAATTTAAAGGCAGCAGTTCTTCAGTCTTCCTTATTTATTGTCCAGCTTTCGCATGCATATCTGGCGGTTAAAAATACCATGGCTTGTGTCAGGCACACCTTAGTCCTCAAAGCAACATCTTTGCTTTTGAACACTTTAAAGAGATCTTTTGCAGCAGATTTGCCCCGTGCAATGCATCCTTGGATTTCTTGACTGTTGCTTCCATGGACATTGATGGTGGATCCAAGTAAAATGAAATCCTTGACAACTTCAGTCTTTCCTCTGTTTATCATGATGTTGCTTATTGATCCAGTTGTGAAGATTTCTGTTTTCTTTATGTTGAAGTGTAAATCCCATACTAAAGGCTGTAGTCTTTGATCTTCATCAGTAAGTGCTTCAAGTCCTCTTTGCTTTACACAAGCAAGGTTGTGTCGTCTGCCTATCACAGGTTGTTAATGAGTCTTCTTCCAATCCTGATGCCCCGTTCTTCTTCATATAGTTCAGCTTCTCAGATTATTTGTTCAGCATATAGATTGATAAGTATAGTGAAAGGATGCAACCCTGATGCACACCTTTCCTGATTTTAAACCATGTAGTATCCCTGTGTTCTGTTTGAATGACTCTTGGTCTTTGTACAGGTTCCTCATGAGCACAATTAAATGTTCTGAAATTCCCATGTAGGTATTACTAAAGGCATTGAAGATCCACTGCAGAGTCTATTGATAGTAGTATTTTTTAGAATTTGAGTATGTGATAAGTTGAATGGAGCCTAGTTAACAATGCTTGAATGAAGGAAAATGGATTTGACCACTTCTCATCATCTCTTGTGCTGTCACCCTGGTTCAGCCACCATCATCTTTCTCTCTCTCTCTTTTGTAATTGGGGTAAAAGACATAGAACAAAACAATTGCCACTTCACACCATCATCTCTTGCCTGGTTAATTGCAGTAGCCGCCTAAATGGCTATGTATTTAGCTACTTAAATTCCCTGTGTATATCTGTGCTCTGCTGTAGTCTTTTCTTCACCTAGCTGAGTAATCTTTTAAAATATAAAGCAGATCTGCTCAGTACCCTGTAATAGCTCTGACAAAAAGCCAAAGTCTTTTTAAAGACTGATAAGCCCCTGTATGATGAGCCTTCCTCTACTCCTACCCACTGTCTCTCCCATCTCTTCCAATCCCTCCTTCCTCATTCACTGTGCTCCATTCAAAATGGACTCCTTGCTTTTCCTCAAATGCAAGGCCATTCTGCTTTAGGTCCTTTGTACTGGCTCTTTTGTCTGTTTAGAATACTATTTTCCCAGATGTCCTCATGGCTAACTGCCTTACCTCCTTCACTCAAGTCTTTATGACAGACTACTTTCTCAGTGAGACCCACCCTAACCACCTTATTAAAACTGCAAATCACACCCCCCTTTACCATTGTTTTTGGGCACTCTTGCCCTCCCTACTTAGCTTCACACTTTCTTTTTCCCATAGCATTTATCACCTTCTAAGATATCTTTTTCCCATAGCATTTATCACCTTCTAAGATATTATATAATTGACTTATTCATTATTTTGCCTCCCTTCTCCCTTTTTCCTGCCCAAGAATGTGTAAGCTTCAGACAGTGGGGGTGGGTGGTGGTGGTGATGGTGGTGGTGTCTTTGTCTATTTTGGTTATATTAATGTATCCCAAATCTGAGGAGACTCTGTCTTCAAACCCCTCTTTGGTTTCCTACGCTAGTGAGTTTAGTGAGATCATTTGTGACCTGTGAGAATGTTTATTTTAGCTTCAGGCTTTTTCAAGTTGAGTAGCCTCTTAAACCTCTTTTTCTCTAGGCCTTCACCTTAATATCTACCCTCGAACATCTCTGTGTTAAGAAGATTTCCCCCGAAAGTCTCCAATAACAGTTGGCCTAAGTTACCTACTCTCTGCTTCCTTTCTTTTGAACCCCAGACTCCCACATAACCTTCTTAGGGGGTCAGAGGCTGGGAGGAATAATCTCAGAGCTCCTTCTATGGAAACACTTGGATGGGAGGGGAAAGAGACGAGAGAGAAGAATGAAATCAGCTACGCTCACTAGCAGCTCAAAAGTGGCTTAATTGATTTTCTCAACCCATGTCGGAACCCTTTTTATTTATTAAAGGGGTCATGTAAGGGTGGGGCATTGTTGCTAGAGCAGTGGTTTTTAAATCATAGTCTGACAAGCCACAGGATTCTGAGAGGTGTCTCAGGGACAGCAGGTACTGAAGGTAAAGGATTTGATTTTATCTGGTATATTTTCTTTCTGTTTAAGATTGCACTTGGGAAACAAAAATGATTCTGTTTAAAAGTTTGAAAACTGCTGATGTAAAGATTAGAATATACCTCTAGCAATATTATGTAACTCAAGGTTGTTTGATTGACTGAATACAAATATACAGCTACACGCACCCACACATACATATACGCTCACATACACACACACATACACATATATACATATACACACACACATACTTTGCCCATTGTTGTTGTGGCTCCAATATCTAGTGCGGTGCTTTCCTTTGGTATTCAGTAAATATTTGTTGAATGAATGAATGCATAACACCTGAGAGCATTGGATGCTCAGTAATTCAGTTCATCAGATACCTTGAGTATAGGCATTTTTGCTATAATACAATATATGCATTTTTATAACTTAGGTTTTGCAAAATTATGAACTTAAAAATAATAGTTTATGGAACTCAAAACTTATGCAGTATAGTAACCAGAGCACTAACAATACTGATAAAAATACTAACCAAACCCAATCTCAAACTTGTTGCCATCAAGTCTATTCCAACTCATAGAAACCCTATAAGACAGAGTAGAAACTGCCCCATAGTGTTTCCAAGAAACAGCTGGTGGATTCAGACTGCCTACCTTTTGGTTAACAGGCATAGCTCTTAACCACTGTGCCACCAAGACTCCAATAAAAATACTAGTACAGGTAAAAAGACATGTTAAATTACTAATCAATACATGCTATAGTACATATAGGACTTTATCTTAAAAAAAAAAAAGATAAAGATAATGCAAGGGAGTATTAGGAAGGGTTGAGTTTGCTAAATTATGAGGATGAGGACAAAATGCACAAAAATGAGAACTGAGCAACAGGCATTCTTCCAAGGCAGAAGCTGTGGCCAGACTGAGCTTAGAGGAGGAAGGAGGGGTGAATGGACATCATGTTCATAGCTTGCTGTTTTGGCTGTTAGTATACTTTGCATCCATCTGCTGTTGCTTAGCAGGGTGAAATATTAACATTTTAGGAAAAGTAACATAAGAAATGATGTGACTTTTGTATTGACATGAACCCTATTTACTTTTACATAGGCTAGTTCATGTTACAGAGACACATGTGGCAGAATAAACTATCTGTTATGTACAAAGCAGGCATTCCACTGGATTAAAAACAAAACGAAACAAAAAAACCAAACCAGTTGCCCTCGAGTCAGTTTTGACTCATGGTGACTCCATGTGTTTCAAAGTAGAATTGTGCTCCATAGGGTTTTCAATTATTGTGATCTTGGG